AACAGCCTGATTTGGAACTTTTATATACCTATTGACAAAATAATGCATAGATTCAGCATGTTGCTGTTGATAGAGAATGTGTTGGAGGAAAGGATGTGCTTGTGTCGTGTTAAATACAGCCAAGGGTAACACTGAGGTGTTCAGATTGAGTGGTAGGGAGAGACAAAACAATTTCGTTCTGAAGATGTAAAATCCTATAAGCAATGACTGCCACTATTTTAACTGACTGGAAAGGATAAGAAGAATTTAGTTTGGGGAAATTTCAGGGTGGAAATATAATCTGTTTTTTAAAGTACAATTTGCATCCCTTTACATGTGTAGTATGTTAGTCCAGAATTGGAGTATTCTTTCTGGTTTCCTCCGTTTTTTTGAGTTGAAGTCAGGGTATTAAAATAAGCATTGTATCTTGTGTAAGAGAACTAGATATGAGTTAGTCCCATTGAGACCAGATGCACTAAAATTAACAGGGGAAAGTTCCTTTCCCCTTAACCAATAGAAGTTACCCCCAATAGAAGTCAATGCTCCCTCTCCTGTCTTCAGGCAGAAAATAGCTTTCATTGCTGTGAGCATTGTAAAGGAGCTCTTCTGGCAAGTGCTCTGAATGGGAGGTACTGACACATCTTGTTCCCTTCAGGAATTTTAATGAAGTTAACCAAATCAGAATACAAAAGCAAGCTGCTATATTAAAAGGCCATCTACTCTCTAGCCAATTTACTGTGTTGAACAGAAGCATGTCCTGCATAGAGTTAGGTGGCAGGTGCACAACCAAAAAATGAATCCACATCAGAAATGCATCCCAGTTTGCATCAAGGAAAAACAATAGTTCTGCTCCTGCATAGCTGCCCTTGTTACAGGGTGTATATCTAAGAGGCAGGACCCAAAAATTATGCTAGAGCTTTAACAGTGCTTGGCATTTGCTCTTTCTCTCTTCATTTCCTTTTCTCTCAAGCACTTTCTGCTCTTGCCTCCTCAGAAAAGCTCATTCCTTTAGCATCATTCTGGCCTTCACTCTTCATGTTCTTTTTGCATATGATTTTTTTTGTTTGTTTCATTGACTTTGAAACACCTACAAAGCTTCCATCCATTAAATCCTTTGGATTATACCTGTTACCCATTGATGTGTCTGCCTGAGAATATAAGATGGTCAAAAAAAAAAAAAAAGTTTAGGAGCAAAGAGATTTTAAGCCAGGGACTAAGCTCATTGAACATTACTGAAAATCTGGGCTTTATAGAGAGTAAAATAAGATTCGCATATATAGGCCTAGCAAAGGATGGCAGTTCAGCTTCCTGTGAGGTGAAAACATTGAAGAAGAACCTGCCCAAACAGGGCCTGATAAAGTAGAAAAGTGCTTTCATTCCCTGATCGTGAATCACCAATATATAAACAAGTTTAGACAATGCACAAAAGAAACATGAATATTTTGGAATTGGTGGCTATTTTGGAAATCAAAAGGAAGTCTTAGAAGGAAAATTTCACATTTTTTCCAGCTATTCTGCTCTGACCCTTACCTCATAGCTAAAACTCAAGGCTACTAGGCTGAATTTGCCTGTTGTTTTACAGAGCTGTGATATGCACAACAGGCTGTATGAAATCTTCAGAGTAATGAATAAAGCCTTTCAGTTCATGTACAGCTATAAGCATATAAAGAAACAGCACAGGTTTATCTTGAAGAAGCTTAGTCAAAAATCTTACTGAAAGAAAGTAAGTTGATGGAAGTCTTAGAGTAAATTTAAAAGGAAAGTATACAGGAGAGGGCAGGTCAACTCTTCAGCAAGTGCATTATCTATGTATTTGGAAGATATCCATCACAAAAGTATGTAATAGAAAACTCAATAGGTTTAGCAATTCCAGTCAGATGAGCGTGGAAAAGTTACTGTGCATTTCTTATATTTATTTTAGCCTTTTCTCTTTTCACTACTTTTTTCTGCTTGTCTTCCTTCTCACTTCAGTCAAACTAGATTTTTCCCACCGACTGTATTTGTTCACAGGGTTTAAGATACAGTTTGGGATCCTTGCCCTTAGCTCTACCTTTCCAACACTTTCTAAAATCAAGAATTTATCCTGCCTCCAGCAGCATGATCTTATCTGTGCCTCTTTCATCTGTTTATATCCGCCATGCTGAAGAATGCGTACTTGTTCAAAATCTTTCTTCTTATGTTTTTTTTCCTTTTCCTTCCTCTGCTTTTGTATCCAGACTCAGTGGTTTACTATTTCATCTCTGTAAAGTACATCTTCAGTTCTATTCTAGTTCTTCACTAATAATTGTTTTGAGACACTTCCACAGAGACAGGGATGGCGAGGGGAGGGCCTAATAAGTCACTGAGGGATTTACCTAAGAGCTCGGAGAAGAACCAGGAAAGTACATCCAGAGATACTAATGGGAGACACTCTTGACTCCAGCCATCCAACCTATGTATATATGCTTACATTTAGAAATGTATTATGGAAAAATGGGGAGATAGCAGGCAGTAAAGCATTTCATATTCCATATTTTGTTTAGAAATCATACCTTGCTTTGGATTAAGATTATTAAAAAAAAAAATCCCGACACAGTGTAACTTCTCTCCAGCTCATCTACCCCTAGTGAATTCCTACCGGAATTCACATTTACTTATTCTGATTGCACTGCATTTTTTTTTTTCAAAGGGACCTACATGTGTTAATTTAACATAGCTTTTAAGTGTATGGTAAATAAAAAAATATTACATGCATAGTCTACTGTTAATTACAAATCGGGTGCTAAAATATTCACATGCAGCAACGTTTTGCTACATTTTATGTGATAGATATTACTTAAAAAATAAGTAAATCTATGAAATGGCAACAATTCCCTGACATGAAATGTACACATCTGCTGGTGTTATTCCATTCTAGTATTCTTAAATTTTCAAATATTTTACTCAATAATCTATTAATTGCATCGAAAAAATTAGTAAGGATGATACATTGTTATGTTGTGATAGATTGTACCACTTGTCTCTCTTTTTAACTCCCATGCAATTTTTTCAGTGTTTTCTTAGAAGTAGAATGTTGGATGTTCTGCTGTCCTTTTAAGAGCAAAAATTCATAATTCATTTTAAATTAAAAACTTTCTGTTAAACAAGCTCTGTTTCAAAGTTAAGAACACCTGCTTTAATCAGATCAATATACACTATAAAAGTATGATCATATTAGAAGCTTGTCTAGGTGAAGCATATATACATATGCACCTAGAGGTATTGTACATGGGCAAAAAAAGAAAAGAAGATCTTTTGTCTACAGAACTTTTCCCTAATAATATAAGAAGAATGGCTGTATTTCAAAATAATATTTTTAATGAAAATTTTCAATGGCAAACTTGACGAAAATATAATATGGGATGTAAGTCACAGATTATGGTCATGCATGGCTCACATATAGCTTCCTTTTACAGAATTTTTTGTGCTTTTCTATAGAGAACTATCCTTCTATAGAGAAGGATAAAAACCTAAAGGACTTTCCGTAATTTATTTCTCTTTACAGAATAATGTTTTGTTTTGTTTGATGAGGCTGACACTTAAGTTTTTGATTTTATGATTTTATTTTAAACTAAATGCAGCAATTTTTGTTTACCTCAGTGTGTCTGATAATTTTGGAATGCTAGTCTGCCAGGTACACAAAACAGTTCTTACGGTTTATTTTGGAGGAAATCTCTTTAACCAGAAAAGTATATAACCCTAAAGGGTAACATGCTGTTGTGGTTATAAGTGTCTTTCTTCCCATGCAAATGTTAAATTCATGTAATTTATCAGATTAGATCTTAATTTTACAGTAATGACATGGTTCGCAGAGGATGTATTGTACCTCTGTGAATTAATATAAAGTCTGTAAAGAGAAAGAAAATTATATTTTGAACAGTTGCCAAGACACTGTTGTCAAAGCACATGTTTTCAAATCGAAAACATGTATGGAATTCATTTCAATATTGAATTGAGTCGGCAAAACAAGAGAATCCAAGGATTAAAGTATTCTGCAGCTCCAATTAAAACCCTGGTTATGCCAGTGAACTTCTGAGAAGGCAATGAATTGTATTTATTGGGGCACATAAATTCAACAGAGAAATAGATGTAATAGAGTATATGAGAAGAAAGTTCATTTATAGAGGTTAGATTTAGAGATACCAATTTTACATCTGTGTCACTAAGTTTCATGCAATGATAAGCTGGTATTAAATTACAGAAGATTAACAAAGTAAGGGCAGTTTACTCATGACTGATTGAATCACTACATGACTCAGAGTCTCATAGCAGGACTCATAACAGGAAAAAGTCTTTTAGTGTCAGTCACCTACTTGGATTCAGTGCCAGCCTAAAGTGACTCAGGCCTGACCACCTGACAGCTGTTGAGTATTCAGCTGTACAAGTACATCAATGGGGAAAGTGCGGTCAGTAGAGAGGAGTTCGCATTAGAAAACCCACCAGTGCAGTCATCACTTTTGCCGTTGTAGCAGGGAAGTTAAGGATACCTCAGCATGTAATTTGAACTAGCCATTTATTTAGCCAATTATGTCAGAGAAGTGCATGCTTTTTATTTAGGTACTATACATTAAAGAGGATCAGTCTGCTGAGCAATAAAGAGTGCTGAATTATTGCTGCGTGTGCATGAAATTTATAAGTGGATGTAGAGCCAGGTGTTGCTGATACTACAGGAGGCATTAAAACTACAGCTGGTCCTTTCTACAGTGGTATTTTTAATTATGTTAGCTATTATCAAAAAGCACTTATTTTTCTAGTGTGAGTAGGATCTGAATGCACCGAGTGATTTGGGTGGCTAATCTGGGTGGCTAATCTTAGGTCTGGTATGGGTCTAACATACCTCTCAGGGGCCCTGTTTTACCTTGCTCTGCCCTGTTGTCATCAACGGGTGAAATGTTGCATTTATCGAATTTGCTCTCATTTTACAGCTCTTCAGCAGTAGGTTAGCTGCTGTTAGGTCACTGAAGTGCTTAAAGAGCTTTACGACTTTATTTTTTATTTTACAGATAACGATTGAGAGGGACAGTGGTTTGGACGTCAGTTCTCCCAAGCATGGAAAGGTTGATCCAGACAACATGCCTCACGTTGGCGGAAACACTTGGGCTGGTGGAACAGGTCTTCATTTATTGTTTTCATGTGCATCTTTTAAGCATGTTTAAGAGAAATGTTGCACCCATCAAAAATGAATTTGCACAAGGCTCCCCTCAGCTCAGAGCTATAATGCTGTATACAGGGTCCCTTTACTGACAGTGGAAAGAAACAGTTGCAGTGCCTAACTTAAACTGCATGTAGAAGATGCTTCTTCAGTTAGGCTTTGTGCTTTTCTTCATTGGCCATGTAGTGAACCAGAAACTTGCAGCCGTAGAAACTAGGCTGAGTCATTTGCCATTCTCTTAAATGTCTCTGTAGCCCCAGAAATTTAGGTAGCATAGGAAGCAGGCACGTAGAATAGTGCCTCCTAATTTTAGTGGGCATGAGAGTGATCATTGTATAAAGTGATTTGAAAACTGTGTGAGTCAACAAATTCTGCAGAGGAGAGAGTAGTCAGAATGAATGGCTTGAACAACCAGCAGCTTTGAGGATATGTGTAAGACTTCCGTGGTCTAACCTTTGTATAAGTTAAAACTCTTTGAAATCTGATCTCAAAGGACTATAAACGTGTATTCCAGCGGAGTTCTTTGTCATGTTTTTTGAAAATCTATGGCAAAAAATATTTCTAGTGGGACTATCGGCAGATTTTGTGAACATCTTTAGATGGAAGCTTTAATGAAAAAGCTTTTGTATTTATTATTGAATTGCCTAATCTTGATTTTTTTTTTTTTTTATCTATCTCAACCATTCTAGGTGGGAGAGACACTGCTGGCTTAGGTGGTAAGGGTGGGCCATACCGATTGGATGCCGGCCACAAGGTTTACCAAATATCGCAAGCTGAAAAGGATGCTGTTCCTGAAGAAGTTAAGAGAGCTGCACGGGAGATGGCAGAAAAGGCCTTTAAACAAAGGTAACATGAAAGGCTTCATTTTCCCTTTCATTTCCCAGAAACATTTGAAAAAGATAACTGAAAAGATTTTTTTTACTAAAATACATCTATTAAGTACCTTATCCTGGTCATTATCATTTAACAGTGCTTATCAGCATATGTTTAACTGGTCTGGACAGGATGTACAGAATGTTTTATTGATTAAACTACACTGTTAAAATGACTGTGTAACTAGGTAGAATAAAACATCGGTAGGTGGATAATAAGGTGATTTGAATATTTACATTCTTAAAAAAGGGATCTACCGTGTAAAAGTTGTTTAAATTACAATAAATCCAAATTGTACGTAAGACCTGTAGCCAAATTGGTAGATGATTTGAGCTATTAGAGCTCAACAGACACTGTTACAAGAACCATAGCTCTTCCCAGCGTTAGTGTTACGCATCATGACTACCATGCACGAACTAAGCATGTATTTCTTAGCCTGAGCACAGAGATTCAGACTTCTTCCACTGATTGAACTCTCAAGTCAAACTGGTACTTTGCATAACAAAAGCTAAATGTGTTGACAGTTACACGAAATGAGTTTTATAGCTTCAGCCCAGGACATGTGACAATGTGAATATCTGTCTGAAGGAGATACAGATGCAGATTAAAAGATAGGAGTGACTAAATTCGGAAGCGTCTTAATCAGGAACTCATGATTTGCTGTTATTAATAAAGTGGTTCCCAGTGTGGGGTGTAAATCTGGGTACTATTAGGGGCAGGTAAGATTGCCATTTACTTTATGTATAAATAAATAGGTCTTTAAGCACAGAACCTACATTATGTATGAATCACTATATTTAAAAGCAGCAATTTAGCTATTGCATTCAGGTCAAGTTTCTTTTTTAATCATATTTTTATTACTAAATTGCCTACAGCAATAGCATAGTCATTAAGGCATTAAGGATTAATTAAGATGAGGAGAAAACACAGATTACAGCAGGACTTCTCAAGAAAAGATCCTGAAAGGAAAAATACCTTTTAGTAGTGATTTAATTTACATAAGCAACACATAGAAATTTAAATTACAAATACTTATTTGTAATGAGTATTGGGAGGAGGAAGGCAGAGCTCTTCCTCCGCACCCCCCTCCCCCAGCCCAGTCCTTTTTTTATGTATAGAAATTAGTGGGTTATGCCTTGGTAAATATAGGGGGCAGGGGCTACTTTTGACCTTTGTACATCCCTATTCTTCAAAGTTGCTTATCAGTTGCTAGTAGTTGACCGTAGTTGACCATTGATACATAAGGTCTTTGATACTGTACATCTCTCTCTGTATGGCTATGCACATACACATACACAGCATGTTTTGATGAATTTCTGCCTTCATATATAATGGCTTGTAAAGTTCGTGTTAGGAGAAACTGCAAGATATTGCTGTACCTTGTGGAAAGAGGGCAGCTGTGTCCTGTAAAATCCGATTATCTACACAGGAGATAACAATTCATGTCATGCTGAAACCAGTAAACAAGCGTGTCCCAGCAATAAAAGTGGCGCATTCTGAAGCCAGGCTTGACCTGGATTATTATTCTGTACCTCTTTAGGTAGCTGTGGGAGCTAGTAGATAGAAGTTAAGAAAAGGGAGGTTGGAGTCCTCAGGATAAGGAAAAAAGTAAAGGGAACTGCAAAATTCACTGTTTTATTTGTGCATAATTAGCTGGAAGGGAGAATCTTAATATGAAAGCTATTGATTGTTTTCCTGGCTATATAGTACTGGTAATGGAAAGCTTTTTAAGTTGCCCTATTTCAATAGAATAAAAGTTACATCTGTTCATTCTGTTGTTCTTCATACTGCAGTTTTAATCTTCAGGGTGTCCGCGAGTTTTTATCTTGCAAGAGATTTTTCTGAAGCTGACACAACTTGGTGTATTATTTCCACATTTCATCATAATTAAGACAAACACGGCACATTTTTTATGCATTATGTCACTGTATTCTAGAGCCATTTCTGAAACCAAAAGGTTATTTTAACCTCTCATGAGATTAAATGGTTTCTGTAAAACTCAGATACTTAGTTCTTCTGTTTTTGATGCATTTTTTTAAATTCAATATTATACCTTATGCTTTTTTCTTAATCTTACATTGCAATGCCTTTCTGTCGTGAAAGGAAAATAGTTAACACTGTATTTACAGGCATCAAGCTAGCCTGCTCTTTGTTGATGATATCATTTTTAAATGTATCTAGCACATCCATCTTGATAATAAAGACAACTTTTAGCAAATAGCTGAAGCAAGATGTTAAAGTTAATAAGACTGAAGTTAGCAAACTCTTGAACAGATACAGTATTTTTCACAGCAGTTTCCTCAACCAGCTTGCTCTGTGGATTGTAGAGTCTAACATAGTAAAACTGCACGGGTGGCTTTTTGATTGATACTTCAAGAAAACATTTTCTTCTTTGATATGAAGATACTGAACTCAATTTGCAGGAGCCATAAAGTAAATTGAATTGTGCAGCACTGAAAGTTAACTTTTCCTGCCTCTAATGAGTAATAGTTGTCTATAATGGCTATGTCTAAGCATAATTCAGAATAGACAGCAATTTGGGACTGGACCTCATTTCCTATGATGTTCATTCTCTTGTGTAATGTACGGTCCATGCAAGTAACTTGCTGTGATATTAAAACTTTTATCATTAAAAGTATAACTGAACTAATCTATACATACGTTCATATCTATTAATGGTTCACTTAAAAGTCAGTACTTTCAAAGCAATGTGAATAAAGTTATGGTGATACGAAGTGCCTGTATTTGAAATAAGCTGTACACACGCAGACTAATACATCTTAACTTTAGGACTGAATCCAGCCACATGCTGGATGGTAGGGTGGGCAGATACACAATTGCTGCCTTGTTACATGATGCTAGGTCACTGAAAATGTCAAGTAGTGCGCACACCCAGCATAGCCATCTGTGCCTTAGCTTGTACTTCACCCTTGGATCTCTGTAATTACATTGCAATCCTGTGTTTCACCGATTTAAGAGTATCTGCTTAGATAGGATGTTGATAAGAACAGAACAGAGCTTTAAGTGGACACATCTTATCTTAACTTATAGAAAGAGCGTCTGTCTGTTTTTATAGGACAGACGTTGCTCTCTCTGATAGACCTCTGTGCAGAACACAGTGTTCAGTGACATGGCTCTTTCTTTGTGGGGAAGCACATTTTTCTTAATGTTCATGTACAACTTCTTTGTTTCAAGGTTTCATCATCTTATGAAGCATAAAGATAGGTATTTGAGGCAGAGTGACTGGCTGTAGGTCTTCAAGGACAGATTTTAGAGTAAGTCTTTACTTAACTTTGTGCTAAAGCATACATCGCAGTATGTTTAGAATACTTTGCTGATGAGGTAATGAACTGACAATCCTTTTAAGTGCATATAGCAACACCTGAGCCAATTAAACCTTCAGAATTTGATCACAGTTTTCAGAACATCTGATTTTCTTCCCAAACGTTAAAGCAGGTTAAGAGAGAGCCAAAGGATTAGTAACCTTCATATGTTTTAATGTGATGCAGTCCCTGTAGACATTGACAATTACCTATCTTTTCAAAAATTCACAAAAGCAGCTGCCACTTTTTTGATTTATCTCTTGTGTTTGGTCATTACAGTCTGAATTTTCCTGTTATCACCAAGTAAGCTTATTTCCTGATGTATTCTTAGCTCCCTGTTTTTACTTTAGATTAAAAGAGATTCAGATGAGTGAATATGATGCATCTACTTATGAAAGATTCTCTGGAGCAGTCCGACGACAGGTTCAGTCTCTCCGCATCATCTTAGACAATCTGCAGGTAATGTTAGATTCACCAGTAAAGGAATATGCTGAGCTCATTTCATTATGCCAAAAGTATTACCCTGCTATATTTTAATATTCTGTCACCATCTGATAACGATACCTTTGAGGGATAAAAGCAAATTTAGCTTCTAATGATAGTTAGGACAAATACAGTCTCATATAGCTTTCTCAAAGGTAGCTTTTAAACAGAACTCAGCGCTTGTGTCTACAAGTTACAGTATTCACATACCACAGCCTACATAGATTACTTATTCAGGAGCAAAATTTGTGAGAGAAAACACCATATGCTATTAAAAGAATATGTGATGTTGCGTAGGTCACGGTCTTTGTTTTTACCTTCTGTCCAAAATACCTTCTTTAGCTTAAAAATGCAAGTGTTATAGATGTTAAAGGAGAGAAACACTTCTCCAGATCACAGCTTATATGCAGCTGAAATTTTGAATTTTTCTCAGGTTTGTTTTTAACTCTTGCTAATAAAAATAAATATAGCCTCAGTCTCCTAGGTGGAAACTAACCAAAAAGACCAGTTGGCCTTCTAAATTTCTAGTAATTGGTCCTACAATTGCTCCAGGCTTTATTGATGCTGGTATTCATATATGGTGTAAATGAAACAAAAAATTCATAATTTCAAGGAGGAATCTGCTAGTCCTCAGTGAAAAAGAAAGGAAAAAAATACTTTTATCATTTTTAATCAGAGGAAGGTTCTCAGAGATGCCTTATTTTTGTTGAAGGCTACTGACCCCTAATATACACGTGTGTAAGTATACTAATTAGTCACAGTTCTGTGTCTAATACGTCTCCTTACTTCAGCAATAAAAATGAAATATAAAAATAAGTGACCTTGTATGGCTGAGAGTCTCCTCCTGGGTCAAATAATCCAGTCCCCTGTTATTGCCAGTGAGAAAGGTAACATTTTTCTTTGCCTCATTTATATCCTTAAGCCATTGTGACTGCAGCAGTGCTACTATAGTCACATGCACACCCAAAACCATTAGCCGATTTCATTATGAATGTATCAGTTCAGAGAGCTCTTTGTACAACGGACATTTAAGATGGGCGTGTAATAATATACTTCGATTCATCCCTCCAGCTAATATGTTTCAATTCAGGAGTTAGCTTTGGGTTTGTAATGAGAGTTTTTACGTGCAAAATTTTAGAGATAGATCTCTGTTTTTCCTATGTTATTTATAATCTACCTGTTTGTTTTTACCAGGTTTCTAGCAGACATGAAGTTAGAAGCATACTCTAGGACAATAAGTGAATCTTCAGTTTAAAATCTTTTTCTGATTTGCTCTATCTGTTCCTTGGAGCCAAAAATCTCATATTCAGGGATCATAATAATCATGATATAATATAATTTAATATAAGGAGGCATATCTTGTTGCTTTATGTTAAAAAGGTAATTTTAATATCAAGACAAAGTCTTACAAACCTCACTATTTTATGAAACTTCATAACTTCCTGGAAAAAATCTATAACAGCTAACCATGAAGATAATGAAAGTATTTATAATGCAAAAACAAACTCACTGAATTCAGAAACACTGGCTCTTAGGATAAGAGCAATATTGAAAGCAAGATTTTAACTTTATACATTTATTTACACATTTTGGTAGTTATTTTAATAGAAGATGCACTAGGAAAATGAAGATAAATCAGTGAACTAGATTCATGATAACAGGAGTTACGTAACTGAAAATCGCTTGCTGTTAATTGGGAAGCTAAATCCAGTCACATTTCATGTTATCTTTATGAGAAAAAAATATTTTTTTTTATTCAAATTCTTCAGCATGGTAAATTTGGCCCTGGTGAGGGACATGCCACTGTCTCCCCTTTTTTTCTGGATCCTGCATGCACCATGGGTTCTCAGCTATAACTGTTTTCTTTCTCTATTATCAGTCAGACATTCCTTATTTCTGTAATAGAAAATTGATAGCACAGTCAGCTGTAGTAAACTTCACAGCTCAGATATCAGTGTGCAGTTGTAGTTTTTAAATTTATGAAAAACCCAAATTACCTTCTCAGTAGAGAATGCTTTCAGATTCTGAAGAATGTTTGAGTTTACTTTGTTTCAAACTGATTGTGTTCACATAAAGAAAATATGGTATCTGTGCTTACTTAATGTGGATTTTCTTTTGGACACGTGTTTTTATTGCTAGCTTGGGGGAGGGTGTTAAATGTTTCTTATATTACATTATACATCCAAGAATCAAGGGATTAGGGACCGATTGTAGTTAATGTCTCTCAGCAATTAGTAGTAGCAGTAAGAAATACTTGGAATAGGCTGTTTCATAAAAGTAATACACAAATTTGATATGAGAATATTATTTCTTAGTTCCTTTTATTTTACAAAACTCACTGATCCCTATCAACTATTTGAGCAAAATTAACAAAGCACTACAAGTTGTAGTATATCTTGGGTGGAAATAGCAAACCCAGAACTTCAGGAAATCCAGTCAAACTGCTGATGAGCCACCTTCTCTCGCCTAAGGCTGGCCAGCCCCTGAATAAAGCTCATGTGTCTGAACTGCAGATCCAAAAATTATGGTTAGACAGTCACTCAGAAAGTTCCTTCTGGGAGCAATCAGTTTTTAGACGACTTGGCCTCCAGAAGTACTTCTCTTTTTATTGATTGCAGAAGGAATCTGAGGCTACTGTCCTCCCAGCTTTTGAATCCCAGTTAGGTGCCTGTGTTTAAAGAGGACGAATCTGGGCCTGAGCCTGGGGCTCTGTCCAGCTGACACTGTGTGGGAATCCTCCTCCATTCATAGCCGTAACAGTAAAATAATGACATTGCTATTATGAAAACGAGAGAGCTAGCAGCATGGAAACCCCTGTGCCCTGTCAGTAGTGATGCTCACGCTTTCCCAGTTTCAACAGCTGCTCTTTCCTTGGAACTTATGTAGAGAGTTGCTTTTAAACTTGTGAAAATTATATATTGAAAATACTTTGAAACGTATGTGTTGTATATGTGTGCATTGTATAACACACGTGCTTAAGGAGAATTTTTTCTTCTTTTATAAAAGAAGAGAAATTCTTAGAAATTCCACGTGAAAGAAGCAGATGTTAAGTAGTCTAAATAATTTTAGCATTATTTTGGAAAAAGGTTAGGTCACATTTTATCAATATTCTTTCCTACTTTAGAAGAAGAATGTTGACCCTGTATTCCTTGAATGCAGTTTCAGCTCAAATACCATTTGTTGTTGCATAAACAGAATAGCAGACAAGCTTCAGAAGATAGTAAATGTTGGGACAGATTTTTAACCATGTCCATTGTTAAAAGAATTTTCATCCCACATTGCTTGTCCTTGCACAGCAAATACCCTCAAAGCTAAAGCTTTGTCAATGAAAACAGTGGTGAAACTAATTGAGAATATGCTCAGTGAAGCTGAATTTTTATAGTTTTTTATTCTTTCTTCCTCCTGAATGCTAAAAGAGAGCAGATCAAAGCACTTAACAGAATATGAGCCCTCAGATCTCGAAGTGTTAAGGGTCTGTATGTGTTCCAGTATTTACAGGACTTTCCCTGTGGTTTGTGTTCTTTCTGTGCACTTTTTTCGTAGATTAGCCCATCTCTCTTAAATAGCTATAAGCAACTAGACAGTAATCCAGAACTCCTTTTTTCTGTACACACCAAAAAGTAAAACCATCAAAAAATTTGATCGAAGCAATTTCAAAAACTTTCTGAGCTTTAAGAAGCCATCATCTGCCTGTTCAGACTGTACAAAATTGTAAAGACTGTTCCTCTCAAATCCCAGGCCTGCAGTTTACTTGGGTTTTGTAGTGTAATGCTTCCAGCTTGTCAAAGACAAATTGGTTTTTGTCACGAGAACTGGTGTCTAAGGCAGTGCGTGTCCTGCTGGATGTTTGATTTGCCTGCAGCTACTGAACTGCAGTCGACTGAGAGCACAAATGCATTATACACATAAATTAAAAATCTTTTCTTCCTGGACTTACTACCATTTTGAGCACGAAAGATTTAAGCAGAAATTAAATAAACTGTTAAACCCACATAAACAGACTTTGCTGTCCTCAGATGGATCCTATGGCATATGAACCATGATGAAATTGTCCTTGGAAAATATTCTTAAATATATTGTTCACATTCTTAAGTACTTGAGTCTTCAGTCTTTAACGCTTGCTTCTATGTATAGATTTGCATCAGTATTTGAGCTCCTGAACTGTTAACACGTTTTCATCAAGTCAGACTGTAGATAATTAATGTTCTCTTAAATAAAATAAGAGAAGCATTTAATGGATTGTCTCTTGATTAGCACAATTTTCAATGTATTTATTTTAAACTAGCATAACCATTTATTATGAATATTGTTGTAAAGGAAACCACTCACCATTACCTAAGGTTATTACTGCTTAGTTTTACTTTTAGGTCACCTAATTTATTTTCTCGTGTTACTTGGATGGAGCACTCATAATGGTCAGTTGTGCATGTTCCTCTTGCTGTATGCGTTTCTGCACAGGTTTGTTAGCGTGCTATTTTCCTGTGTGTTTGTGAGAAAAAAAGCTAACATTTCCATAATCCATGATTAGACTCCCATGTGTGAAAAGGCTTAAAGAAGACAAAATTATAGAGGGAGTGTGTTCTTCGTCAGTGATGATTACTCTTTTCGTGAAAAAGAGCAGGACCAGTATGAAATTTCATTGACATATGCCAAATCACATAATTAGAAATAAAATTAATTTGTATGTTATGTTCAGTAGGTAACAAATTGCATAATATACAACCACATCACTGAGTGATTTAAGGATGCTCTTCTGTTGTAGGCCAAGGGTAAGGAAAGACAATGGCTGAGACACCAAGCTGTTGGGGAGCTAGATGATGCCAAAATCATTGATGGGCTGACAGGAGAAAAAGCCATTTATAAACGACGGGGAGACCTTGAGCCACAAGTAAGTATCCAACAAGTAGCGAAGGAAGCAGGGAAGAGGATAACAGGTTTGCTGATTTCTTAGTGGGTATATGTTATACATGCTTAGAGTTTCTTACGTTATATAGAGAGAGATGAGAAACTCAGAGGTACCGTCTCTAACTTGGGAAGTCCCTAAGACAGACATAACTGCAAGGTGGAGGATTTGTTTCTCCTGTTCTTATAGTCTTCCATACGTATTTGCTGTTGGCCATCCTCCGAAAGAGGATGCTGCTGTAGGCAGTCCTTTGTTTTCTTCTCTATGATATTCTTATTTTATATTTTGATGAGCTGAAGATGATTAGCAGAAAACATTTCCTTTATTTGTCTAAAAAAAGGAGATATTTTCACTAACTTAATTTAATTTAATTTTCACTATGACACCCTGGAAAGTTTAAAAAGAATTAGTAATCTTTACATAAATGTCCTCTCCTTAGTCCAAGATACGCCAAGAATTTCAGCTTTCACAGATATTTGGATTTTCAAAAATAAAAACAGCAATGAGAAAAAAGTGGGAGTAAAAGCCATTAAGATACAATAAAATTGACTATCCATTTCAGCCATTCCTTAGGAGACAGGATGCTTAACCCTATGTGAGTCAATGACCAAGAAACTAGTTGAATCAGACCAAGAGAATCCGGTCAGAACTAGTGGGCTAATTCATATAAGGTAACAATAATATTTAATGACAGGTTATTATTTTTAATTACATTAAGAATTTTTTTAAATAAACGAGTGCAACATCTTTTTGCACATCAGCTACCCACGTTAGACGAATCTCTGGTTTTAATTTTTATGGTACTTGGTCTTGACGTCTGTTGCTCTGAAATGCTGATAGAGCTTGGCCTTTCCTGTGTGAAAGATCAGTAAGGAAAAAGTGATTAGAACCTCACTTCCAATTCTTTTCAAAATGAGGTTACTCAGAGTTTGTATTTTAAGACTTTGGAAAATGGTTCAATTATGATAGAAAAAGGCCAACTTTAGATTTTCAGTTGAAAACCAATAAATGTAAAATTTATTGGTCTTCTCCATCCCCCTGCTTTTGATAGGACAGGCATGTCACACTGAGGGGAGTAATTAAAAGAGGAAAACATAGTAATGCTTCAGTAGTGCTTGTGTGAGAAACAAATGTTTGCAACTCAGTTACATATAAAAGGAATATTTTTGGTATTTGCTTTTCTTAATTTTTTTTTTTACCAGATCTTCTTTAATAGCCTTATACTTGAAGCCAGACTCATCCCATTGCATATTGTATCAAGCACTTCCCTTGAATGTACTATGCCAAAAATTGTTAAAACAGATGGAGATTATTTTCAGGAAAAAGAATAGTTTCAGGATCAGAATGAAGAAAAAATGAGTAGTTAGTTAATCAAAACAAGATTTCAAACGTTTTTAGAATGATATTAACCTCAGCAGAAAAATTTTTACAGTCTTACAAGGGTCCTTGTTAGTACCATAAGCCAAGAGAAAGCATTTCCCAGATGAGTCTTGGCAAAAAGAGCACATATGAGCCTTTTTACTGAAATAAAATGTTAAGAATCAGAAATGTGACAGAAGAGGTATTTTCCTCACAAGAATGTGTGGAATTTTTCCTGATGTTTTGTTTCCAGTCATAGAAGGTGAGGAAAAACATTAAAGGTGAGTTTAAAGAGTTGAACAAAAGCATTTTTACTATTTTTCTTTTTCTTTTCCTTTTTTTTTTTTTGGTAATAATCTGCCTTTGCTGGATTAAGACTTCTTGCTTTGCAAAGCATATTGGGTTCTCTTTCCAAAAAGTTTTATCCTTACCGATGCTTAGCTTTCTCATATATATAGGGGTTTTTATTTTTGTTATTGTATTTGTTTTTTTTTTTTCGAAAAAAATAGCCTGGGAGCCCCCAGCAGAAACCTAAACGTCTGCGCCTAGTAGTGGATGTTTCTGGTAGCATGTACCGCTTTAACGGGGTGGATGGACGACTGGAGCGCTCCATGGAGGCTGTCTGCATGGTCATGGAAGCTTTTGAGAATTATGAGCACAAGTTCAAGGTAATTATAACTGGGCTAGAAGTTCTGTGGTTCATGCACAGGCAGTGTAGAGCAGTGGAAAAAGTGTTTCAGCAATCAGTCTAGCCAAAGAACATTATTCATTCCTGCAAGGAAGTAAAGGCTTTAATCTGTTGCTAGCAACCTGGAAAATAATATTAGTGAAGGGGCAAGAAAGATTACACACTTCAGCAGGGGTGAATTCAATCTAAGACTAGGTGTGAAATATGCTACCTTTTTTATGCGTTTGTTATAGATACGTTTATTTATTCCTTTGAGCAGAAACGCTTAAGCCTACAGAATATAGGTATATATGTGCCTGGGGACATGCAAGAATGTCATCTTTCCGTGCCTCCGCTTACAGACAGGAGTACTTTGTAATGGAAAAAGGCCCTGCGCCTTTGTTGGTTACTCGTGTTCTCTTCCAGGTACCTGAAACCAAAATTGTCTGTTTCCTCTTCTGAAAGATGTTAGGTCCCAAACATTATTTAATGGTAGCCTGCAAAGGAAATAAATAAAGGGTATGCCTGCCTTTGTCTCCATAAGCCTAAACAAGGCCTAGGGTAGGTTTCTTTAACCTAAAAGGTGACAAGAATGGCCAGTCTGGAGTTAATTCTTGACAAACTCAGTGTTTAATGGAAGAATAACGATGTTAGATGTCTGACCTTTTTAACACAAAACTTAAAACACATGTGCACAAAATGTAAAATCTTCTAAACAAAATGAATAGAAAGCTTATCCCAGATCCTTTCAATCAGATCTTCTTCATGTTGTTCCTCTGATAACGTACTCGTACAGGTTTCTATTCTTCCATAGAATATTATCTTCTGGATAAAAACAAGCCATATGAGACGTGCTTTTAGAATGTCTTTTACAAAGTCAAACATTCAGACTTTCATTTGTCAGAGAAAAAAGGAGACTTGTTGTATTTTTAGCCTGCTTTCCTAAGGAAACAAGGCTGGTGCTACCATACTCCCTGTCAGTCATGTTTTCCCCCTTTAAACTTTGGAGCATGTTTTCCCATTTCAAACAAATTTGAAACAATGCTTGAGTTCCCAAAGATATTAAACGCTTACAAATGTAATGAAAATATGTCAGGTAGGAAAGAGGCTCCGTTTGTATTCCCATTAGAGAAAAATGCTGTACCATAAGGTTAGACTTTGACCCAGAGAATCTGTGTGGGAGCTCAGCCTTAATTAACAAAATTGTGGAAAATGAGGGGTTTATTGGTTCAGCTGCTTATGTGTCTCCCATTCACTGATAACAGAAAAGTTAATGACAAATATTTAACAGGGGCAGTATAATTAGTTATACAGCACAATCTGGTGTGGTTTGGTAAATTGGGCTTATCTGAACACATGCATATTAATATTGCCAAATGTAAGGTCATCCACAAAGGAATAAGTAATAGAAGTAATGGACACATGGATAAACATGATACGTTGGGGTATAGTCAGGCATGCCTTTAGTTAAGGAAAGTAAAGCATTTTGAAAGCGTCAATATGCACATGACAAGGAAGGTTTGTTGATAGAGTCTCTTTGGATTTCCAGAAGCATTTGACAAAGTCTTTCACCAATGACTCATTAAAAAATAAATTTACTTTAGGGGCTTAAAATACAGAAAATGAGGAATTATAAGTGGCCGTTTTTCAGAGTGAGGGAGCGAAAGGAGATCGTTGGTGGAACTGCACTGGGATTTGTGCTGGGGCCAGTGTTGCTGTTTATTAAGTGATCTGGAAAAGGAGATGGGTAGTGAAGTGCCAAAAGTTGCTATCCGAATGAAGTTGTTCAGGAAAAGAAAAAGGATAATCCAACTGCAAAAAGTTGTAGAAGGACCTTGCAATAAGAAGTGGTTGAGAAATAAAATGGCAGGTGGTGTTTGGTGCTATTAAATGTAAAGTGCTGCAGATGGAGCAAAACAATCCTAATTTTAAATACACAATCATAAACTATCAGCTGTCTGTTAATGTTCACTCTCAGCTATATATTAGTGCTCAGCAAAGAAATCTTGTAATTATGGTGCATGGTTCTTTGAACAGTCAGTGCCCACCAGCTGTCAAAAAGGCTAATTAAATATTAGAAATTATTAGCAAAAGAACAGAGAACAAAGCAGAATGCCACTAGAAAAATCCGTAGTGTATTCACATCAGGAATAACGTATGCAGCTGTGGTCCCCCATCTCACAGAAACTATTGTAGAGCTGAAAAACTTAGAAGCAAGAGTGACAAAGATTATAGAGGGGTATGGAAGTGTTCCCATACAAGGAATGGCCAAAAAGGCCAGAACTCCTCAGTCTGGGGGAGAGAAAACTCAAGGAGCTGATGAAATCATCATTAAAATGGGAAAGGTGAACAGGGAACAGTTGTCTGCTCTCTTCTAGTACAGCCGTTCTTCAGTTGTTAAGAACAATGAATTATTTTGCTCTTAATTTAGAGACAATATCTTACAAGATGAACAAGATGCAGTGCAGTGATAGATAACCAGCTGTCTTTATTTCCAGCTGAGAAGCCAAACATGACCCTCAGGTGCATGATTGAGAAATAAAATGCAGGAGTAGACAGCCAGGCAGCTCCACACAGAATGAGTGATATAATTAAGGACTGTGTTCAGTTCTGGGTTCCGACTTGGAAAAGGATGATGAATAGTTGGATAGCATCCAGAGAAGTTTTAGAAGATACTAGTCTGGAAATGTCTCCTCTGCAGAGGGAAATCGTTTTTTAGTTTTTCCAAGGGAAGGTTAAATCTTCCTCACAATTTATAAGGACCAATGTAAGGAAAAGATTTCTCTTATAAATCACTGGATATCCTTATACTTTTATTTTTGGACTAAATCAGACAAATACAAACTACAAATATTTTTTAAATTTTAACTGATGGTAGTGACATGTTATATAAACTTCACAAGAAGCACAGTAGATTACCTCAATTAAAGTCAGTAGGGAAAAAAAGTGTCTTTCTAAAAGACTGTGGCTGAAACTGAAATTAAGAGCAATTCACCAGGTCAGCTTTTACGCACTCAGTTGCATGGTCTTTTAGTACAATGTTTTGTGTGATGGTCCCCTCTGCCCCCCTCCCCCCCCTTTTATAATCTATGATTCATTCCCCTTCAAACTCCGCTGTGTCTATTACAAATTGCTATATTTTGTTTGGAAATACTTGCTGTTGGCTAGATTTTTGCCCTGCACATAGATGAAACCCTGCATTTGGCCATGTAAATAGCTGAAAATGCAGTTAGCTGTAACATTGAATATACTGTCTAACAACCACTTATAATTTATAATAACACTTACACAAAAACCATGTGCAGTTATTAGATGTGAAAATTGCCACTCTTGGATAATAGTAAGACAGGAGTAGTAATATTATCCTTACAATCTGCATGACTCAAGAGAGCTGGAAGGCTAATTTTATAGTTAAAATAACGGTGGTGAGGAAGATATTGGAAATTTTAGTGACGTACCAAGGAGAAAAAGTCGTCATCAGCTTCTACATCTGTTCCAACTTCAGCTGGCCTCTAGAGCAACTCTCCTCCATATAAGTGCTCCTTCCACTGGATAGAGGACTTTCAGGGGCCAGTAAAGGTCCCTTGATTCAAAGCTGGCCAGATCTGATGTGAGCTGTGTCAACTTCAGAGTTGCTTTTGCTCAAGGGAAGAAAGATATTTTTATTTTCCATATCTTACTGTGCTGCCTCAATGGGATTTGGTTCACTCAGAGCATAATATCTACATGAGTATTATAAGCCTCCCTGGAGTTGACTAGGACTGCAGACAATATGTGGCCTTATATTTCACTGGCCGTGGAAATTGTCCCTCCGATGAGCACTGATAGCCCTTGACACAGCGTCTGCTTTCAGAGCTCATTGCTTGGGTGCTGTCCCTAATAGGGAGAACAGAGAGGGGACGCAGTGAAGACAGACGTGATAGATTATATGATTTGCTGCATCCTAAGAATCTGGTATGGCAATTCTTGGCCTTTGCTCAAGATCACTTTTCTGCTCGTATTTGGTTTCATGTGCTGCTAAAAAAGGTTGTGATTGAGCCAGGTGGACTTTTTCCTTTGTTTTTGGTTTTGTCCTACCAGTTGAGCTCTCCTCATACGTGGTACCCTTTGGTGTCATTGATAACCCAGATAGATTGCTTTGTCTTTAAAGTATTGAATGAAAGTGAGTCATACTTTTTTTCCTTGGCTTCTTGTACAGAAGTAAGAGCTAGGTATTGACTGTGTGGCTGTTCATAGAAGGTTAGAAGAGTGCCAGCAGGTATTTGTCATCTTTTTATGCTTGTGTAGCACAACCTGCCTGTTTCCATTTCCCATAAGGGCAGGCAGTGAATCGTTCCTCTTGAGGGGGAAATGGGAGGTTCATCCCACAGCCAGGAGATTTGTTTAAATTAACAACCATCTTTCAAAGCTCTCCTCTGATGTCATTTCTTCCATGCTTCCTCTAAAGTGCTTTATTAAAGAGAAGAGTGGGAGTGAAGGAGACACAGGGAGCCACATTCTCAGTCTCATCCGAATAATGGAGGTTGAATATGCTACTACAAATGCATCTGTCCCCTTTAAATGTGCAGATGCAGAAGTTATAGGTAGAAGTTATAATAAGCAAATTATTTTGCAGAATTAAAGTTCTTATATCTTTTGTAGATCTCATTTTACATGTCAATTATTTAAAAATGTGCAGAACGCTGTGCGTTCTCTGGTTTATCTGAAGTGGTATTACGCCTGTCACACAAAGCCGTATGGTTTTATATGGTCCCTAATTACTGACAGTTGCATACATGATGTCAGATTTAGGAGGCTGTCCAGTAAATTATATAATAGTGAATTTGTGAAGTCTTTAAAAAAATGTAAGTGGTTCAATAAATGGCATGTTATATAACTAGTAGGAAAAGTCCAAATTTTTATTTATTACAATATTAAAGGGATATTGCAGATTTTATATGCCAATTTCAGCATTCCCCATTTAGAGAATTTACTGAGGAGGCACTACTGTTAATTCAGGAAAAGGACAAATGTTTCACATGGTTGGCAGAATAGTTTCTTTTAAATAATAAACAAAAAGCTTGACATAAATGCCAAATAAAAAATTAATGTTCAGTGTTATCCAAAGAAGAGATGAATTTCTAAAGATCTAGCCCTCCAGCAGAGGCCTGTCTGATTCACACTGGCTTTTACATTCAGCATGCATCGTCTTTCAGCTTTTTTAAATGCTTTGAGAAATTAAACCTTTCAGTGTGCCAGCAGCAGAAGACAAAGTCATCCATTTTACCCTTTTCAGGCAGTAGCAACCGTCCATTCAACAGAAAGTCTAACAGTGCAATGGGAGTTGTTTTAACCTGCAAGGAAAGAAAGCGATAAAATGATGGTATTTAGAGAGACATGTGTTTACATGTTGTGTGCTCAAAGCTTTAAATAGAGTATTTCTTTTCTCAGTGTACCTGAAGCTGTTAGAAAAAGAGGCACTGTGCACCACAATAATACATTGATTAAGTCTGCACTGTGGCAAACAAGTATTTTGCTGCTGGATTTGTCCTGAGAGCTGTGTTTTATGAAACAAACAAAATAAAAATTGATTCCAAGTAAGATCATATCACAGCTCCTCTCTCACTTTTAACTCTGTCCTTCTCCTATGGAATTTGTGAGAAAAATGCATTGGAGCTCTGCGCTTTAGAGGTTCCTTTTCTGCGCATCTCTTTAGCTATTTTCTGCTTCCACGGTTAGTGTAAAGGAAGGAAACTCTGGTTTTGACAAAGCATTTTTAGGCCAGCATGTGTTGGGGTTCCCATTTGGGCATGACTTTGAAATGGAGCTATCTTGAAGTGAGCACACCAAGACACCTTTGAATCACTAAGGGTTCATTTTATTAAAACACAAATTAGAAGGAGGTAATATTTTACTTAAATAAAACCTGGCTGAGACAGATTTAAATACAAGGTCTTAAAATATATCTCCTTCTTTACCCTTGTAGAGTGGGGCTCTTCCCTCCAGCTTTACTCTATCCCTTACTCTATTTTCCTGACTTGCAATAAACTCCACGTATTCTCCTCTATAAAAAACTCCTCTGTTTTGTCACCTGTAAAGCTTGGCTGTGGGCCTGGCTGGGTCTGTTCCCTTCTCTCCCAAGCTGCAGTCCCACGGCAGTTTAAGTCAATCCAAGTCAATGCTACAGCGTTCCCGTCCCTTTGCTCCGCCATCTGTATCCCTCTCTGACCTTGCAGTTTGGAGAGGTAGCCTTCCCAAAAGCAACCTTACGGGGATTAGCTTTTGACCACTTGTGTCTGAATTGACTTTCAAGGGGATGAGAGGATGAGGGCCAGCACAAGGGGGGGCTGAGGATCACAGCGCTTCCCTTTGGTGGTGCTTTCTTTTGGGCAAGGCAGGATCTCTGCCTGCTTTTGGGGAGGCTCTAGTTGACCCACAATGCAGCAGCCAGGACAAAGCAAACAGGCACTTCCTCCCTGCTCTCCGTCCTTAACAAATCGCAAATAGTGTAGTAAACTGTGGGCAAAGAAACAAGAAAACAGGTAACATCTGTTAAATGCATACACACACACACACACACACATGCGTGCATGCATGGGCGCACACACAGAAAATAGTAAACAGCTAGCCGAGGATGGAGCAGATAGGACATGGTGTTCGCAGGTGAACAATTTACATGCCTGCAGTAGTTTGCTCAGATAATTTCAGGCTCTCCTTGCTTGCACCCAGACTGTCCATTCCTGCCTTGCACAGGAATGTGGAGGGTGCCGAACGGCAGGGCGCACCTGTGATGTTTGGAGCCCTTCTCTTTGTATGAATTGGGAGATTGTGTTTAAACTTAGCCTGTTTGAGCTGAAAGGTTTGTCCATTATTAGTGTGTGCCATGAAGCAAAATGGCATTCCCAAATAGCAAAGTATGGAGTGTTCCCCTGAACTCAGTATGGTCGGGCCAAAATTGCAACACCCAGTGGGGGAAGTCTATGAAATCCTAGGAGGGAGCCCATTATGAAGGAGTCGTACTTATTTTTATGTAGGAGAATGACAGCATTGAGCTTTACATAATTAGGTAACTGATTTAAAAATAGTTCCAAATACAAAACCGCTCAGAAAATAGTATTTAAAATTTTAGAATTAATAGCGTACCCTGAAGATCCCATAACATTTCTGACATTACGTAAGAACTGGATTAGCACTGCATATTTTCTGCTCCATTTAACCACCTCTTTATTTAGTTCCTTTGGTTTGAATAATCTGTAGTTTTTGAAACGATACACATACACACTCTTTTTCTGCATTTCATATTCTGATTTTGTTCCTGTACTAATTCCAAAGTATGTTGAATGTAACCTCAGCACTGTTCTCAAAATTCACGTATTTAAATTTACCACTTTATCTAGGAAAGCTGGCAGTTTTAGGAAGACGTAAGTAACAGGTAAATATTCATCAGGAAAGAGGGAGCCTGAAGAAGTTACTGGTGAGGAAAGGTTTAACTTTCAGAAGAAATGTGTTTTTAAGAGAAATTGTGTGTCAGACAGGCAGCTTTACATGATGCTGAGTAGCAGATACAAGAAATGGAATTGCTGAGAAGAATGGGAGTTAGAAAAGCCAGCAGAACAGAATGAAATGGGAGTACATGGGAAGATTTCCTAGGGGAAGGAAGTCTGGGTTTTGTGAGGCTATCACAAAGTAGTCTGACCCTTGGTGAAGTAATCTATAGTATGTGGCACGTTTACTGTTTTGCAGAGGGAGGTGTCATCTTTAAAAATATTGTTCCAGCTGCTACAGCTTTCTTATACTGGCTCTCTTGATATATTTTTAAGTAATTTAGGGCTATGGAAACAAATAAAAAGAGCTTTGTTAATAAGGAGTGTCATTTATCCAGTGTCCAGTACCTAGCTTGTAGCAAATTAGGTGGTCTTCCGTACCACCCCCTGTACCAAAAAGAGGACTCTGAGAACAGGACCCACCTTTTACCAAATGATTATGGGCCGACAAAGGACAAGGATCCTGGCAGGCACTTCTAGGCATTACTTGAATAAAAGATAATAGAAGGGCAAAATATTGGATAAGGGCTCTCTTATCAACTAAATACATCTCTGTGCCAGCCAGTCTGGGTGAAATTCAGGCATGTTCATGCACATTCCCAGTGGCAGGTCTCTTCTAGCTGCAAAACACCAGGGAACTGCCAGCTCGGATCTCTCCAGGCTCAGGATCTGTCCTCTGTTACATGGTATAGAGAGCACTTAAATCCACTTTTGTCCTATTCATGAATTCTCCCTGGAGTGATTGCTACATCCACAGCACAAAGGGCAGGCCAGGACCTTGGGGTAACTCAGCTTGTCTTCTTTTTCACGTAATGACGATAAAAATCTCACGTAAACAAAAGCCTTCAAAATACTATGTTAGTTGTTCAGAAGGATATTTGAACCAGTAGAACTCTACACGTGATTTTTGCAGCATCTTTCACAGGAGAATGATATGCAGGCTGTCTCCTTTGAAAATGTACAGATACTCTTGGAATTCACCTCTACATACTTTTAGCAATGATTTTGATCTATTATGCACAAAAATAAGGAGTACAGATTTTTAAAAGCTTGTAATACTTTTTTTATCAGAGCAGAATGAGGTTACAAAAACAATTCTTCAAACACTGGAACTACTCTTGAACAATCCACTTTTTGTTTGCTAGACCGGAGAGAAAGTAAATCGCTACTTTGAAAAAAGTGAGTGGGTAATGTGAAAGGGCAAGGTCTTGATCCTGTGCATCATCACTCTGCAGTTGGTGGGATGAGGTAAAAAATAAGGCCACAGAAATGAGTAACTGTTCTTTAATGTCATTATTTTAGCAATTTCTCTCTACCATATTTGCATGTCAGTGAGAAATTGCAATTAGTTCCTTTCAGCAGCTCATAAGCAGTGAGCAGTATTTTTTTGTTGTTATTGAAAGCAAATTGCTTTGGATCTATCTTGTGTCATTCTAACCCAAGGGTCATTCATGATTAACAGATGACTGATTAAGTTTCTTTCTTGCAGTATGATATTGTGGGACATTCAGGAGATGGCTTCAACATCACCTTGGTTGGGAGTGACAAAGTTCCCAAGAACAATAAGCAAAGATTAGAGATTCTTAAGGTAAATCCTACTGATTGATAAGTAATGCTGAATAATTAAGGATTCATGACTTCAAAGATAAAATTTTATGTGGGTCACAGAATGCAATTCATAGGGAGAGGAAGGTGATAGAAAGAGAAGGAAGCAAAATCTGTGGTTTTGTAGAAGGCTGAATTAGAACCTTTCCGAGATATTGGTATAAAGCAAACTGCCAAAAAATAGGCTAGACATACCTTTTCTGGACTGCTGTCATAAATTCCTCATTTTGACCACCTGTCAATGGATAAAGGAAGTTCCAAACATTATGCAGTGATATACATTCCACCTAAATCATATGGTGATATTATTAGTGTGGAAGTGGCTAATTTAAACTGCAGAGTGATCCCAGATCATTGCTTTTGCCTGGCGTTTTGAAGAAGTAGTATGTTACAGTAGCAGTAGGAAAGCGTGTGAATGCTAAGTTTAAAGCATGTTAAATCCCAGTTGCAAAGTAGTGTCTTCCTCAAGATTTTACTGCAACGGAATGCAGAAAATGTGAATATATTGCAGGATTTACGTGGCTGGCAGCTTGGTACTGTATATTAAAGCTTCCTTCAAAGAGTAACTTTAAAAGATTAGCAGTTAGATTAGGTTAGATTAGATTAGAACAGGATTGTCTAATGTCTAAAATTCTTCACCATCTGTGTAGGAAATAGCTTCGTCCATGCAAACAGTGCATTGCTCCTCCTCCCTTTCATACTGTTTCATAAAAGCTCAAACAAAATGTTTCAGCATTTTTAAAAACCTGTTGCCACTGTCAGGAGTCCGCTATTTGGTAATAACTGTGACACTAATAGGATTTAGAAGTCCAGTACAACTGATAAAACAGATGGAAGCTGGTCACGCTGTTAGGAAGCTAAGCCCTGTTTTCTTCCTCAAATACATAGGAATGTAGCTATTCAAACTGCAGTTGATCAAAGTATTTTACCTTCCTTAGGGTCTAGTGTAACTCTATTCATGTGTAGGTTTTGTTTGGCCCGCTGTATTTTAAGAAGTGATACCTATCTTTAAAAATGACAGGTTGTATATAAAAAGCTACATGTTCTGTAGTATCTGGAGCACTGTCCACATTTCGGAAGATGCTTCGCTTAGCATAGCATAAATGAATATTTGATTCCCCTTGTGGCAGCTGAAATGAATGTTTATTCAGAAGGTCATCTTACCTCTTTCCTTTTTGCTTATGTTGTGCACACAGATCATGCATGCCCACTCTCAGTTCTGCATGAGCGGAGACCACACCTTGGAAGGGACAGAGCATGCCATTCAGGATATCGCCAAGGAAGATGCTGATGAGTATTTTGTTATCGTCCTGAGTGATGCGAATCTTGAGCGATACGGTATTCTACCATCAAGGTTTGCCCAGGCCTTGACCACCAATGCTCAAGTCAATGCTTTTGCCATATTCATAGGATCTTTAGGAGACCAAGCAGATAGGTAAATGTATTTGTTAATCCCTAATATAACTTCATCTGTTTCCCCTCATCATGAAGCTAAACTCTGCTTTTACTTACAGTGTAGCTAGGCACAGTTGCCCCCTGCTGATGTTCTGCGCTGAGGTTTTAATCTACTGAAGCGGAGTTACAGCTTTTACTTGTGTTGGGGAGGACGTTGGTTTATGGGCCCTTGCGGACATCCCTTATGGAAAGTTAGATCAGAGCCTTCTTAGCATCTAAAGGGAGCACCTGAATCCCTTCTTTCACAGCAAGACGTGCACTGCTCACACATGTAATATCACTGCAGAAACACGGCTGAGATGTGATGCCTTTGGCCTTTCCCAATATGAGGTTTAAGTGTGTGTGAATAGCCTAAGAAAACCAAGGAGACTGGAATGAGAGAAAGCCGGATTTTAATGGCCTTTAGAATTGCTGAAAATCTGACTCAGATGCTACCCTTGCATTAGGACTCAGAGACCTATATTCTTTGGAGAGTCTATTTTTAGTCCTAGTTCATAATTTGACTGTGAATTGTTTAGGCATAGGGGAAAAAAAGGAAATTCTGTCCCAAGTGACATTCCACATCCACCAACAACCACTAGATGCAAAAGCTCTTACAACCACAAATGTTTACAGAGCCTTTTCTGCTTCTGTTCGAGTCTTTTCACTAGAGCAGGATAAGTCAAGGCTCAAAGGGAACTCAATATGCAGTTTTAATCAGAAAGGGTTTGAAAGATGCAGCTGCAGAGCAAACATTAATCGTATCTGCATGTCCATACATCAGAACTGCATTATGCCTTAAAAAAGAATCCATTTTGAAACATTGTAGTTACAGAGTGTCCTTTTAATTTCTGCTAGGAGGAAAAAAAAAATTGGCCATACCCTGCTGTGTAAGAAGAGATCATATAATTGCCTAGTTCACTGGGTATGGAAAATGCACACAATGCTGTCACTGAAATGCATTTCTGTGTATGTCTAAGAGCAGCATTAGACAAAGCTGTCCTGTAACTGGTGTGGGGGAAGGAGAGGAGTATTCCTTGTAGCAGCTTTTTAAAAATTCCCTTTAAAAGTGACACTTAAATTATTGTTGGAAAAATGTTGTGGAGTACAAACTAAAACTTGTTTAAAAAGCAGAGAAAAAATAAACTCCAAGCCTGCTGACTGGACATGAGAGAGGTGGATTTTGTAAAGTACATCTTTTATGTTTTTTTTAGTGGGCGTAAGCCGCGAATAAAAATGTGTCAGGCTAATATTTGTGGAAAAATATCTTTCCATCTAATCTTCTGTGATCTAGAAGAGGAAATACAAAGAGCGCATTTAGACTCACTGGACATTTTGAAATGAAAGTGTTAAAGGTTCAATCAAAACATGCTAGTATGTTTAGAGTAAGTAAATATCCTCATGTGCAGAGAAAATTTCCAGCTGCCCTCTGAAAATCGGTGATGTCAGTACCTTATTGGGTCACTGGTACCTTCATCAAAACCAGATTTTTTACACATCAGAAATAAGACCTGAATAGAAATCTCTTTTAAAAACACTTGAATTGTATTGCTGAAAAGACCTGTGTGACATAACTGCTTTCAGTGTTTCCTCCCGCTGCTGCTTTCCCAAGCCTTTAATTGCACAGTGACAGCGATGTGAATGGCATGTATTGGCAAGGTATTCAAAAATAAAAGCATCCTTTCTTAAGGAGCTCTGGCTTGCTGTAGGGAAGGTAATTTGAAATGGTAATTTTTTCTTGCCCCTCATTCTGCTCCTTAGGTTGCAGAGGACACTACCAGCAGGCCGGTCTTTTATTGCCATGGATACCAAGCAGATTCCCCAGATTTTGCAGCAGATCTTTACATCTACCATGCTGTCAAGCGCCTAGCCATCGCTGAGGTCGTGACGTGTGAATTCAAAGAAGAAATCCACTCCCGCCAAGGATACGAACCCTAAAGCGGAGGATAAACACCATTATTAATAAAGCACCTGCTGCTCTTTAACAAGAAAGCCAACCCAAATCTGCACGGTGGCTGTGCTGTAAAATTTCACCACAAAGCTCTCAACTGACATAAAAGGGTGTTCAAAGAATTGCAGGGGGGCTGGGGTGCAACTCAGGATGGCTGCAGAGCAAATGTTTTTTCAGAGGGACAAATAAATAAAGGACCATTTGTGATCATTACTCTGGCTGATGTATTGCCAGCACTGCACTATCATCTCACCCTGTTTTATTAATAGCATCCCTTGGTCCTCTGGGGTTAGATAACGTTATACAAGATGGAGCCAGCTCATCTGTTTCAGTGTTTTGTGTGCACATGTCTGGATAGTTAATTCCCTTTCTAATTCTGAACAGGACTGCTCTGGTCGAAGAGGAAACCCTGCCTTCCTGCGCGGGTGCTTTCTTGTCCTGGTCGGCACCCGGACTTCACTGCTGGGTGGTGGGAACAGTGGAGCAGTTTGGAAACACAGACCGTCGCCGTGTAAACATCCATTATCTGATAAGGCACGGCACTCAGAGTTGTCAGATCGAGAGAAAGTGGCTGTTAAGAAGAATTAACAAATAATAGTAAAAAAGATTCTTTCAGCTCTGCTGGTGAAAAATGAGGGGAAAGGGTCAAAAGGGTCTTAAGACACACCTGCCACTATTTCCAAGGAGTGAAGTGCCTCTGTATGTCCTTTGTAAGGCAGAGGATGGCATCCCGCTTCGCCGTTGCCCAGAGTCCCCGGGAGGGCCACGGCACCCCAGAGGCTGGAGGTGCCTTTTAGACGGGGGAAACAAAAAAGTCACTAGCACTCTGCTAGAGCTCCTTTATACTCTTGCTTGGGTCTTTTGAATATCCGTCTGGAGGGCATATCTAGGTATTAAAGCTTTTTTCTAAAGGAAGAGAAAAAGAAAATGTGTTTTCATTGTAGCAAGGTATCTGTGTTGGGATATTTCTTTAATATCCAGGACATTTATAAAGACTTACTTTAGAATTCAGGTGGCTGGTGTTTGATTTGTCCCTGAGGAGATATCCCTATTTATATCCTAAAGAACAGATATCTTGTAGTGCATCAGGAACACAAAAATACTTGAGGAATTGAATTCATCATTTAACTAGCTGGTGTTTCTCTGCATCATCACTAATACTCTCTGCTCATATTAACTAATTTCAGGGTAAGTGATTAGAAAAAAAATCAAGAGTGCTCATAAAAATAAGAAAGGAGAAACTATGGTACTTCTCTTGTAATATTTCTCTTAATACTGCCGTTGCTCAAATTGCATTGTGAGGGGAGGAGACATATCAATTCGATCTTATTACATACAACCATCCATGGTTTAAGGGGTTAAGTTTCTAATGGCCATTTGCTACTATGTCAGTCCTGTAGCAGCCTGTTACCCCGTTCACTTCCACACAAGTATAAATGCCAGGAGTGTCCAGCAGTTCAAAATATGAGACATGGTATAATTTCCAGTTTCAGAAGATGCACTTCATTTCCAGAGGCTCTGCCTTCGTTAAACTGAGGACAGGCATTCAGAATTGTAACTTGAAAAGTCTTTGCCATAGTGTCAAAAATGTCCTGCTTTTAGGAAGTGTTTGAATTTCTGGGGCATTGGTGTTCTTGTTAGTGCACTGTCGTTTTGGAAACAGCTGTAGGCTGTGACCTCATGTAACAATAAGTCTTGCCCAAATATTGTGAAATAATTGTTCAGACTGAACTGCAGAGATAACCCAAACTCAGAGCGGACGTTGCTTTGATTGCCTAGACAGCTTCAAAACTCCTTATGGCATGAGGGGACGGAAGGCATTTTTCAAAGGTTTGTTATATTGTTGGAATAACTATATACATAAAAACAAAGAGGTTAAAGATGGAATTCCTGTTTAGAGAGAAGGGAATTGGGAGGGGAACGATGGGAAGATTATCCCTGGCTGCGACAAATACATACATGCACACGCACACACAGAGCTATTTACGGAAGTGCAGGTCAAAATATAAGTATCTTGGCATCGTACATACATTTTGAGGTATCAAATGCAATAAAAAATCGACGTATTAATAATTCTGTTAGTAATTGTCCTTACATGTAGTAATTCCTTCAGCACCTCCAATTTTATCACTAGCAGTTCTTTAAAAAGGAAAAATGTTATTATAGTCACAAGTACTGAATGCGCTCTGGATTACTTGTGTGGATAAACTTCCTCACTTTGCATCTATTTACACTATGAAACTGTTACCTTTATAGTAAAAATTTGTGTTATTTAAAAGAGATGATTGTGCAATAACAAATTCCATTTAAAACCTTCAGTCTGAGTATCACTGTAAATGGTATTTAATGTCACGCTATTTAACAGTACTTGTTCATGTTTCCTTTGGTTTTATTTTTTCTTTCAAGACACCCCCGTTGTGTTTCACTTCCCGTTTCAGGGAGCCACAGGATACGGCTGCATTTGCAGACCGGCCGCTGCAGGGAGCCCGATTGCAAGGATCTGAAAGCAGCTTCTGGTCAAATTTGAGAGGAAGGGAGGAGAGATTAACGAAAAGGTCATTTTTTTAGTCTGGAAGGAGGATTTTCTGGTTTAGTTTTGAACAGCGCTTCATTGCAGACCATATTGGACCTGACAGCGTCTCTCTAAATTGTTAAAATTTAGAGAGGCTATGGAGGCTCCTCTTGCACCTCTCCTGGGAAGCTTGCATGCTTGACTGGCTCTCTGAAATGCCTGTATACCAATGCACGCAGCATGGGGAATAAACAGGAAGAGTTAGAGATCTGTGTGCGGCCACAGGGCCATGATCTCATTGCAGTGACAGAGACATGGTGGGATAGTTCACATGACTGGGATGCTGTCATGGATGGCTATGTGCTTTTTAGGAAAGAGAGGCCAGGAAGGCGAGGGGGTGGAGTTGCTCTTTATGTGAGGGAGCAACTAGAATGTATGGAGCTCTGCCTCGGGGTGGATGAAGAGCAAGTTGAGAGCCTATGGGTAAGGATTAAAGGGCAGGCTAACATGGGTGACACTGTTGTGGGGGTTTACTACAGGCCACCTGATCAGGAGGAAGTGGTCGATGAGACCTTCTACAGACAGCTGGAAGAAGCCTCACGATCACAGGCCCTGGTTCTCATGGGAGACTTCAACCACCCTGACATCTGTTGGAAAGGCAGCACAGCTAGGCACAAACAGTCAAAGAGGTTCCTGCAAAGCATTGATGATAATTTCTTGACTCAGGTGGTGGAGACGCCAACGAGGAGAGGTGCAATGCTAGACCTTGTACTAACAAACAAAGAAGGTCTAGTTGGAGAGGTGAAGGTTGGGGGCAGCCTTGGCTGCAGTGACCATGAGATGGTGGAGTTCAGGACCCTCCGAGGAGGGAGCAGGGCAATAAGTAGGATTGCAACCCTGGACTTCAGGAGAGCTAACTTTGGCCTCTTGAGGGACCTACTTAGGGGAAT